AACACCCCTGGACTGGAAGGAAAAAGGAGGAAAGAAAAAAAAAAAAAAAAAAAAAAAAAAAAAAAAAAAAAAAAAAAAAACAACAACAACATAATGGAATGGAAGAGAATGGCTATTGATCTTACAGAGGTACAAGCGCCTGGCTCAACCATTGGCGTCGGGAAACGCACAGTGCCACAAACCTGACCTGGTTCAGAGCATGGTTCAGTTTACGGACCTTGAAACACTCAGTGACCCTTTCTCAATGCCTTCTACGGCACACGGCTTGGTTCGAAGCTTTTCAGAACTCGGTTTCAATCTTTGCACTGGGCACAAGCCTTGGTTCGAACCTTGGTTCAGACCTTGGTTTCAATTTTTGAGCTCGGCACACGACCTGGTTCGAGGGTTGGTTCAGAACCTGGTTTCGAACTTGGTTTCGAACCTGGTTTTGAACTTGGGGTTCAAACATGGGGTTCAAACTTTGGTTTCAAACTTGGTTTCAAACTCGGTTTCAAACTCGGTTTCGGTTTCGAACTTGGGGGTCAAACTTGGGGGTCAAACTTGGGGGTCAAACTTGGGGTCAAACTTGGTTTCAAACTTGGTTTCAAACTTGGTTTCAAACTTGGTTTCAAACTTGGTTTTGAAATTGGTTTTGAAATTGGTTTCAAACTTGGTTTTGAACTTGGTTTCAAACTTGGTTTCGAAATTGGAATATCACAGTGAAGACCAGCGAGTCGCGTACTGAGGAGAAAGCACAATGCGCCGAGAGACAAGCCAAATAAGAGCAATAAAATGAACTTAAATCAAGTTAAATGTAAAAAAAAATAAAGAAAGTCAATGTTGACACTCTCACCACCACAGCGCCCTGCCTACCATTACTCAACACCTAATCTAGTCTAGCTTATAGACTACGTTCATGCAACACGAGTCACTTCAAGCTGAAGACCAATGATGTACGTGATGGCGTCGCCAATGCAGACTGACAGCGTACACCAGGTACGTGGCTCTTCCCCTCGCAACCTCACCCCCTTCCTCCCACTTTTTTTTTTTTTTTTTTTTTTTTTGGAATCTGGCCTCTTTTTCTATTTATCTACTACCTATAATAAGCTTTGCGAGGCTCAAGGCCTCGATCTGCCCTACTGGGCCCTATTTTGTGTACAGTTGGCCGCCCTAAGTGAAGGCAGGCTCGACCCAGGGCCTACAGGCCTATTTTGGGGTCACCACGCAACTGAGTAAATTCAGGCAGTTGCGCAGCGCCAGTTGGTTGAGAGCGCCCAGGCCCAGGCTGCCTCTTTTTGCATGTAACCGAGCCAGGCCCTGGGCCAGATTCGCATCATGGACCGAACACAGGCCTCGGGTAGTTGGACATGAGCAACCACCACAGGCCCAGGGCCTGATTCGTTTGGAATGGGGCTCAGCCTCTCTGGGCCTACCGGAAGCTTCTGGGCAGGGAAGGCAGGCAGGCCACTTCCATTTAGGAAACTGCCTGCCTGCGCATTCAGCATTCGGGCACTGGCTGAATGCTGTGCAAGCGCTGCTGCGCTAACGCTAGCCAGCGCTCACGGGCGAGCTGGAAGGAGCAGGCAGCCATAGCCGAGCGGCGCTGCTGTACGGTGGATGAGGCGCATGGTGGTCTTTGGGTGCATGTGGCATCTGTGAGTGGGGAATCGAGGTTATGAGTGAGGCGAGAGACATACCTGGTGCTTGGGGCGAACGGCATTGGCCGAGATCTGCTCGTACTTCGGGGAGCTGTTGACGTCATTGTAGATAGGCTAGATAGGATCTGCCATTTGTAGTCTGGGCGCCGAGCGCCAGATAGGATGTCGACATTGGTTCTTTGTTGATGATGATGAGACTATTCCAACATTGTCACTTACGAGCTTTTGCTGTGCTCTTATTCGGTGGAACTCGTGATGCAATTCTGCTTCTGGTTCGAGGTCACGACTATCTTGTCTTATGTGTATGATGCTGCTTGGTTTCTGGAGTTCGCTATCATTCATTTTCCTTGCACTTCCCTTGAATCACAAAAAAAGGAAATTTAAAATATGTGAATGATCCATACTTGCGGCGCATCACGTGCGCGCGAGTTGTGCACGTGCGTCGCATAGCATGCGCGCACACGTGATGCGGCGCACCCCATTAAATAGGGGTCGGTAAAAAAAATTCGGGAAGGACAGGGTGTGGTGGCCAAACGTGGCCCTCCCTTATAAAATTTGGAAACGGAAAAGAAAAAAGAAAACAAAATTTGGCTCGCGTCGTGCCCAAAAACTGTGTGCTTGCATGTGTGTGCATGTCCTATTTGGATTCAGTCTCTTTTCCGAGAGGCCCCTGCAAAAAAAATTGCAAGGTTTGATCACCAGATGGAGCTGTTCGTCCAGTTATGGGAAGCGCATGAGCGGGCGAACAATATATGCTACTATGCTGTGAATTTTTTTATTTATTATTATTATTATTATTTTTAAACAACACCTCAGTGATAGTGGCGCTGATAAGGGAAGACACCACTAGCACCTGCGGAGAGGCTCCATCTATTGGTGGGGAGCATGCTGTGGATTAGAATTCAGGTCCGTGTTTCAGCAGTTATGGGTTACTTAACACAGCTAGGCCCTGGTGGTCTCTGCACGCGATTCTCGTTTTCTTTTCTTGTTTTCCTTTTTCTTACAAAAGACAAAACATATGGCGGCGTATGGTTCCATGTTCTAGAGCACGATTCATTCTAGTTTTGGTAGAATGAAACCGGGCGTGGGGAAGTCAGTCCATCACAGTCGTAACGGTGGTGGTAGCTGTGGCAGGGCCAGCGTGGAAATGCTACCACTGGCAAAGGGCAGTGGCGTATGCAGCCATTGTGGTGGCAGCAGCAGCACCATTAGCGGTGGTAAGACTACCGTCTTCACCCCCGAATCGAACGCCTGGTAATTCTCTCCGTATCTAGACTGAAAGTTGCCCCAAATACAGGTATAATGACCGGGCTCTAGCTTCAATACTGGTAGTACTGCTAACAGTGGTGG